GACGATTGCGGCTTCACGATTAATCAACGCAGCTCAGAGGACATAATAAAACCAAGACCATTCACCTGAGCTGCAAGCGTTCTCCACCAATTCAAGTGAGATGTGGACTGTGAAATCATAAGCCCTGTGTTGTCAATTTCATCTTCTATTCACAGCCTGCATTCCCATCCTTGCACGTTCATCTGTAATCCAGATTACGAGCAATCAAATAGTCGTCAGTTCTGTCATCACTGGCACGTAACGATTGCTAATCAACATCTAAAATGTCATCTTATTACGCCTGCTGACTACACTTTACAAACCGTTGTCACTGCAATTGACTGTAATCATGGGTGAATGCACAGATCACTCTTCATCAATTAGCACTATAGGCAGACCGATCCATACTCTTTTGCTTCATTTCGCATTAGCGGTCAACGTGCACTTCAAAACAAGCATTCCGTAGCCCTCATTCCTCTTATTTGTGCCATCTGAAAGCTGTCACAGATCACCTTCTGTCATAGTTATTTCGGAATTAGAGCTAGAGAGTGTTGGTTATCTTGTAGGAGGCTCTAACTCCGTATTTTCTCAAAATCCTTTGTAGCTCTTCAGTTGTACCGTGGCAGAATGGTATAACTATGGTACCAACCCTGGACTCATTATCCGATTTCCCTTCTTGACTTTTCTGCTCATGATTATGAATCTTTTGAATGACATTCTTAGGGTAGTTATTGAAATGTAATATCTAGTATGGTTCTTACTTTCGTTTGTCAGTCATCCTCATCGGCGACGACATTAGAATAAGTTTCGAGCAAATGAAAGTTCAACACTGAATGAACGTGGTGAGTTGAAATTGAAATGTTGATCTGAATATGTTAGTTGCCAATAAATAGATGAACTTAAACTTCTGTTCCCATTCCTTGGTAGTTTGCCATTTGCATTTTCCAATTTTCATCTGAATTTACTATATGGAGAATGAGCATTAGTTAATTTAGAAAATGTTTTAAAGTTCAACATTTTAAATGTTTATCTTGATGTGATAAAGCATTTTGAACACTTTCGTTTTGTTTAACTCTGAGACTATTGTCAATGAAATGTTCACAAAATGAAACCATGTATAGATTTCACTTATTTGTTTCCCAGTCATAAAAGTAGATGCTGGGGGTTACAGGTTGGTCAAGGTGAATGGTTGTGCGCCCAATATAGATATCATCATGGGAGCAATCAAAATGACGAATACACACACACACACATGTAGGTAGCGAAATCTGATAAATTATTGTATCTTTTGAGATGAGTGAGGATTTTTAATTTAGGGGTAGTATTCATCATGGACTGACATCAGTTGGGGAACCATTGAAAACCCTGGAGAACTGGACAGCTGTTTCATCCTAGTATGGGACTGCTCAGCACTACGCACCCACGACCCGGCTACGCATTGAACTCAGGACCTTCAGGTTTCACGGTGAACGCGTTAACCACTCAGCCACTGGATCGGTTTCCAGTGGTTCACAATTTCCAACTTCTGTCGATTCACAAGATAGCGCGACTGCCGTGACCTGTGGGGTCAAACAGTAGGAAGTGAAGTCGATGCTAACTGAAGATCTTGGGTGATAGTCACGCTATATCATGGATTGATAGAAGTTGGAAATTGTGAACTACTGAAAACCAACCCAGTGGCTGAATGGTTAACGCGTTCACCGTGAAACCTGAACGTCCTGAGTTCAATGCGTAGACGGGTCGTGGGTGCGTAGTGTTGAGCAGTCCCATACTAGGATGAAACAACTGTCCAGTTCTCCAGGGTTTTCAATGGTTCCCCAACTGATGTCACTTCATGATGAATACTACCTCTAAATGATAAATTATTCTCTGCTCCACTCAAAACACTTCGTTGACTAGTAAATTATATACATAAAACCGTAGGCCAGACAGAAAATTGGCTTCATTTACAAATCAATGAGTTCATGAATGTTCTCGTTTTGTACTGAATGGCCTTTATTAGGAAGTTTTTATCTCTAAGCCGAAATTTAATGATCATATAAACATAATTAGCGAAATATATACGCATATTCAGTTTGAAAATTTGTCAAACATCTAACTGAGTTGTCTTAGCAAAATAATGAACTGACCAGATTTAAAGATAAATGAGTTGACAACTGTCAGTAGTAAAAAACTGGTAGGGATTCTGCAAGTACTGTATTCACAAAGCAATATCAAGATCCTTTTCATGTGTTAAAAACAAATGAAAACCCACTTAAAAATTAGTCGAATGATCTAGCCGAATCGCACAAACCTTATAGTTTTAAAGATTTTAATGCTAAAGTGGAGAAACAGCTAAATAACCTTTACAAAGAACTGCAACACAGAGTTGTAAAATTCATTGTGACTTAGCGAAAGTTTATATTCTGCTTGAAATCCACAAACTCCGAATTCTTCTTTGTTTAGTCGCTTACAGGTTTAACTAACCACATCATAAAATCTAAAAGCGCTAGTTTACATCTTACATTCCTTTCACAAACTAATCAGAAAATATAGTTAGAAGGATAGCCTTTACTTTATCTCCAAGGTGATAGAGATGAATATGAATAGAAGATATATACCATCACTATTCGCTAATGTAACGCTCACTAAAACAGTTGATTCTACACATCAACAAGTGATGGAAACAGATGATCATTAGAATTCATCAATCTAGCCTCAAACAATCACTTCTCAGATGTAAATCAATGTACGCTCTGTCCTTAACAATCCACATCACAAAAAATTTCATGGAATCATAATAAGTTCTCCATTAAGCCCCATTCTTGAAGAATATTTCTTGATCAAACTAGAGAATGGATAGCTAAAAGATGTCATCAACGAGCTTGATATTCACTACCAATACGTTGATGATGTATTCATCAAAACTGATTAGAATATCGACAAAAACGAACTATCGAGAGAATATGAAAATATAGCTGTGGTTGCTTGGTATTTTATTCAGTAGAATAGGAAATGACTCACTTAACAGAAGCATCTACAGAAAAAGAATATCTACACGTCGATACACACCTCGCTAATTTCATATGTTCATGCAGCTAAAGAAATGTAGTTAAATTTGAGAAAACATTACTCAGCATGCGGAACAAGATCCGGATTTTCAACACCAATTCAGTCAAGTCAGTGCTTCTGTATGGCTCAGAGACTTGACGCGTTACGGAAAGCATTTCCAATAAACTACAGATATTCATCAACAACTGCCACCTACGCTGGCTCGTTACTGAAAATCAGATGGGCAGACTAGTGAGAATAAGCAACAAGCAACTCTGTCTGGCTATCAACGAATCAACGAAGCAAGAAGCTATCGCGCAACAGATATGCAGTGGGAGTAAGTGGAAATGGATTGGATTGAACATATACTGAGAAGCGCGACTGGGGACATCAGGCGTCAGGTCAGTCAGGTACTCGAGTGGAACCCAGATGGGAAGTGACGAGTTGGGCATCCGGGGTGAGGGTGACATGTAGGAGATGGTGTGAGGAAGAAATGAGAGTTTGTGGGTAGTGGTGGAGCCAGGTTTAAAAGATTTCAGCAAACAGAGTAGAATGGAGACGTGCTAGTGAATCCCTATGTTCCATTCGGAACCCAAGGGACAAATAATATTAATGCTCAAGCAGACCGTTTCCATCAAAATTTCATTCGAACACAACTTACTGTATGGATTTATCACACTGTCTGTCTATGGTGCGAAATTAACGGTTGTCTATAAAACAAAGAATATGCTCAGAGAAAATAATTTCAACGTCAGACCCCTCGGTGTTACCTACAACTGTGTGTATTGATATGTTAATACTTGAAGTAGCATGTATAATGAAAGAATAAAGAAAATACTTATTCAATGAAACTTTTGAAAATACTGAGAGTCTTAATATTGAGAAATGCAAAGCTAACTGACCATACAATAAGAAGACACATCCCTGATGGAGGTCATACTATCAACTTAAACACGCCTTTAAAAATAACCAATAGACAAAGCACTACTGAATAAGGAAGGAGACAGATGAGGAGGATAGAGTATGTATTGTTAACAATTGGAACGGTAGTCCTTAAATATGGTACACTTCACACTAAAATTGTCACTTGTAAAATGTGCTTCGTTTCCTCTTCCACTTCTCTCTTGATTTGCTCTTCATACACTCTTATCAGCAACACCCACTGTAATACACCTGCATTATTCCTTGCGTTGCTCTTGGCAGAATCCCCACCCATCGCTGGTAATTCCCTATGATTTCTGCCACCCTCTCAACATATACTACTTATATCCATTCTTATCAGTAACGCCCACTACACTACTAGATTACTACTTTATACAGAAGCAGCAACAGCAGCAGTCTGTTGATCGGAACTAAACTTGTCTGTATAAAAGGAGTTTATGGTTCACTTTGCAGTAACTTAACGAGTTGTTATTTTCCAACGGCTTTATTTACTAGTTCATTCTTTCATCTTACTGTCACATATTATTATTATCTGACTTTCTGAGATAGCCGTACTTTAGCAGACTAGTATTTATACTCAGTGATGATTGAAGGTGAGATGAAAATCTAGACCGTGGATGGGTTAGAACCAGCGATCACTGAATTTCTGGCCCAACGCTCTACCAACTAAGCTACGAGGTTCGAACCCGGCCGCGATTTAAATTTTCATTTCACCTTCAATCTTCACCCAGTATAAATATATTTTGTTCTCAAACATTTTTCATATTCCTATAATTCACAATTCATATTAATTCATTTGACACGATTTAATGTGTGTGTAGAAAGTTTCAAGTACACGAAATGAACTGGATTCATTCAACAATGTTAGTTGTTCTTACTTGATAAAAATTCACAAATGAAATTAATTTTATGAAACTCAGTAGTATAAAAAAGTTTTACATTGACTTGAAATAAACTGAAATAGCTAGGATAAGAATAGATAATACACAATGAGTAACAATAAGTCATGTTATAGTATTTATTCATTAAACATTACAAAACTGTCTTACTTCAGATCCTGAGTTATCCATAACCATAGGATATTCTTTGCTCGAAGCATTCGGTGAATAGATAACAAACATAAGTGTATATAATTTCCTATTAATCCATTGAGAGGTGAATGAACTAAGTTCAGTATGTGAAATAGACATCTGAAGGAAAAAAGATAATAAGATTATGCGTCTTTGAGATGAATGGGGATTTTAATTTAGAAGAAGTATTCATCATGGACTGACATCAGTTGAGGAACCATTGAAAACCCTGGAGAACTGGACAGCTGTTTCATCCTAGTATGGGACTGCTCAGCACTACGCACCCACGACCCGGCTATGCATTGAACTCAGGACCTTCAGGTTTCACGGTGAACGCGTTAACCATTCAGCCACTAGGTTGGTTTCCAGTGGTTCGCAAAAACTCCCCACCCATCTCAAAAATACACTACTGTATAGTGCTCATTAGTGACTTGCTTCCAGATGGATATCACGAAGTTCAAATGAGAGGCCGTGATTTGTGGGGTCAAACTGTAGGAAGTGAAGTGGATACTAACTGAAGATCTTGGGTGATAGTCACGCTATATCATGGATTGATAGAAGTTGGAAATTGTGAACCACTGGAAACCGGTCCAGTAGCTGAATGGTTAACGCGTTCACCGTGAAACCTGAAGGTCCTGAGTTCAATGCGTAGACGGGTCGTGGGTGCGTAGTGTTGAGCAGTCCCATACTAGGATGAAACAGCTGTCCAGTTCTCCAGGGTTTTCAATGGTTCCCTAACTGATGTCACTTCATGACGAATACTACTTCTAAAATAAGGTTATGCTTTACAATATCATGAATACTGTATAGAGTTTACGTGAAATGGAACCAAACACAACTAACTGATTACAAGTGCAGTGAACTCTTAAAGTAATACTTATCATGAATAATAGCTGTTCGAAATATTCTGTAAAAGAGAAGTAGTAGAGACCGAATAAATTTGGTCGTCTTGACGAGTTCAAATCAAGGAAGAACAAAGCTATATACCCCCAATTTTGCATAACTTCACCTGCTGTTTTGTCGATGACCTTAAAAAAACTTACATGGCTGTTTTCATACTGTTACCAGTTTTTCTTCCCTCTCCTCTGAAGGCTGAACTCTCATTGGTTGTTAATTATGTGTGCATATAATGTTGTCAGGGTCATTTAGAAATATATGTATTCAGGGTCGTTGTCAACCCTACTGACCATTGCTGAGACAGTAAAAAGGCTGTCTGTCAAGTATCTCTGTCCTTAGGGTTAGGGTTAGGTCGAAAACTAACAAGTTGGCAGAAGAGGCGAGGCAGTGAAGACGGGACTTCAAGTGAACGTAGAGAAGACAGAGATGATGAAGATACCCACCACCACCAACAACTCCAACAACAACAACAACAAACTCCAGTCACCATCAACGGGAGAAACTTGAAGGAAGTTGTCTGTTTCACTTATCCAGGCAGGGCAGCATCGTTTCAACTACAGGCGATGGCAGCACAGACGAGGACGTCAAAGCAGCCAGGGTCGGAAACACAGCAAGACAGGCCTTCCTTCACTTATCTGAAATCAGTGTGCAGATCTTCTACACTCAGCATAGAGCACGAACAACATCCAGATTTTCAACACCAATTCAGTCAAGTCAGTGCTTCTGTATGGCTCAGAGACTTGACGCGTTACGGAAAGCATTTCCAATAAACTACAGATATTCATCAACAACTGCCACCTACGCTGGCTCGTTACTGAAAATCAGATGGGCAGACTAGTGAGAATAAGCAACAAGCAACTCTGTCTGGCTGTCAATGAAGCAACGAAGCAAGAAGCTATCACTCAACAGATATGCAGTGGAAGAAATTGGAGATGGTTTGGGTTGGTTGGGTATGCACTGAGAAGATCGACTGGGAACATCAGACGCCAGGTCAGTCAGGCACTCGAGTGGGACCCAGATGGGAAGTGACGAGTTGGGCATCCGGGGTGAGGGTGACATGGAGGAGATGGTGTGAGGAAGAAATGAGAGTTTGTGGGTAGTGGTGGAGCCAGGTTTAAAAGATTTCAGCAAACAGAGTAGAATGGAGACGTGCTAGTGAATCCCTATGTTCTATTAGGAACCCAGTGGTTAGGTAATAATATTATATACTAAGTTAAACGCTCAGAGAAAACAGGGAACCTATCCCAGTTTACATTTTGCTGGTAATCTAAGTTACTTTGATACAAAAGTGAACTGTCCAACCATCACAAGTATCAGATCATAATTTAAACTTTTCAAATCATTCATACAATCATCTACATAACACAGAACAATCCTCGTGCATGAGACATATGATATGGAAAAAACAATGTTCGAATTATTTTACGGTTAGTTATGTGAGATAGATGTTGTTTTCCCGACGTATCCATTTCATTATGATTTGACCATCTAAGATAGCCGTAGTTTTGATAGACTGACATTTGTACTGGGTGATGATTGAAAGTGATATGAAAATCTGGACCGCGGCCGAATTCGAACCAGCAACTACCGGGTTACCGGCCAGTAGTCAGCAGCCGTCAGCATTCGGACCTTCTAGCTCAGTTGGTAGAGCAGCGGACTGGTAACTCGGTGGTAGCTTGTTCGAATCAGGCAGCGGTCCAGATTTTCATCTCACCTTCAATAATCACACAGTACTACAAGTATCCATTTCATCCTAAGGAATTAATAGACTGGAAAATGAGAATTCAAGAAGATTGTCAATATACTTTCGGATGCATCTCAGGAAGATCATAGCAAGCTGAATGAACTACCCAAGATTTTCTTCAGAAAATCATCTATGTACCATTGCAGTATAATTCCGAACACTAGTTATAACAGAACTCTGTATTCAAAATAAAGCTGCTGTGATTATGAGTTGGGTTATCGAAGCAGAACTAGTGATAATATCTATAAGAATTGAATACTTATACTAAGCATTCCTGCTTTCAAAAGTGGCACATATGTTTATCAAGATCGTCACATTAAGATTAATATTCTATCAAGAAGACTTCCAAATGGGTATTATAGAACCAAGTTACCTTATCCATATATTTGTTCAGCTAGGAAACTCCTAAAACAAGTTTACAAGAATCCCACAACAACTGTGGGATAAAGATGACAGGATGATTTCTACAAATATATTAGGCAATGGCATATAATAAATATAATATAAAAATAACAAGGTTCGAGTCTCATTCGGGACGATATCCGTTATTGCTGTGTAGATACATCCAGGTGACGAGTCACAAATAGGACGCAACGCGCATCTTGGATTTCACTGCTGGCCGCAACCAAGCCATTTAGAAATATCTGTAGTGTTTAGAGAATGTCGTATTTGGTAGCTAAAGGACTATGTCAAATATGTGTAAGCATATTATTCATTTAAGAATTTAACTCAAAGGGTAAGACGGGAGGAAACAATGGTATCCTATGAATCAATGATCGCCAAAAACCCAGCCCATCTGCAAATCATTAATGATGGATAGTTGCTGGCAGTAGGCTTAGGACTCACGTTTCTTCCCATCTGGGATACTTTCAGGTGATAGTGTTCAGCCTGGAACTAGAGCCTAGTACTTATTGCTTCACACAACACAGCTTTATCCACTAAGCGATTAAGGTAGCCCTTATTTGTGCGATGAGTATATTTTGACATTATGGGTTGTAGATGCTCGTCGACGATTGGATGGAATCCATAGACCATTATTGGTAAATGACTTCCATCTGGAAATAGCAGTGGTTCAGTGGTAACGTGCCGCCCACAGAACCTCGAAGTCATAGGTTCCACCCTTGGTCCAGTCATGAGTGCGTACTGCTGATGACTCCCATCCTAGGGCGAAACAGCTGTCCAGTTCGCCTAGGTTTCTAATGTTCACCCAGCTGGTCTTAATCCATGGTGAATACCAACCCAAGTGAAATTGGTTGAACATATTAAATATTAATCCGGAGAGAATTATTTATTACATATGTATGAAACGAAAACACAAGATAGAAGCTAACAGAAAACTTCACCTCATCCACGTCTTTTATAAAGCTTAAGAATGACTCACTTGATTGTACTAAGGGGGGTGGGAAATTGATTGCTAGATAACGAATGCCACTGCTTTACAATGTAATTTGGATGATAATGAAAATATAACACTGTCATATCTGCTAACTAAATGACCTTCATGGTCAGACAGACATGTGCAGTGTCCTACGATGAAATCAATTAAGATTTCATTGGTTAGGATCATGAAATTTATTGTTAAGCCAATCGAATGAACGAAAAATCTGATCAAAATAACCTGCATAGGAAAACGATTGTTTCGTTGATTCAGTCATCTTATTAATCATTTAATAAGGCGATGAGAACACTGTTTACAAGAAGTGATGATGTCAGCACTTTATTTCGTATGATTTTCATCAACTATATGCAGTCATAAGACTGTAGCGTTTTGAGATACATTTCAGAACACAAATGGTGTCATAAACACAGTTTGATTTAGTAAAACATTTGCGTAGTTTGTCTAAACCTATTACAGAATAAGAGGTTTAGACAAACTACGCACATTATAATATAAGAGTAAAACTTTAGCAGTGTGGTAGGATGTAATTCCATTTTCATTGATTTATTAGATTTATCACACGGTGAAGGAACAGTATTGTTTACTGGATTACGTTTCGGACATAATTTATTGTCCATAGTCATATCAAGATAACTACACAACTTTGAGATATCCTTTATATATGTCTGTGCTCGACTGGTAAGTGATGACATGAAGTATGCATTTACATATAGCATTTATCCGAACGTGAACCTCGCCTGGTTAACTAGTTCACTAGTTACTAGCCGGTCCTAAGCCCGAGTAAAGAGTGAAGGTTGGGCATGGGGCTAGCAACACTACCCCGTAAAACAAATCCAACCGCTAAACAAACTTCAAAGCACAAACAAAATATAGAAAATGAAAACAAATTTATTCCTCGCTGGAATTGGAGAGGCGAAATGACGCCGGTAGGTGAAAGCCTGGCTTTGGGAAACCAGTTGGTCGAGCCGATATGTCTTCTCTCCTTCGATGAAAGCGAAAGTAAACGTGGGGACATGGAATGTCCACACCATGTTTGAACCCAGCAAGGCAGCTCAGATTGCAAACGAGATGTGAAGGTATCGCATTGAAGTGCTAGGAATCTGCGAGAGCAGATGGAATGGGAGTGGACTCTCCAAACTGTCAACTGGAGAATCAATAATCTACTCTGATATTGCCAACCAGACGACAAATACAAGCAAACTGACTTTTCAAGTGTCTATCATAATGTCCCCAACAGCATCAAAGGCTCTCCTTCATGCAGTGGGAACCAATCTCCTCCTGCAGGATCATGACAGCAAAGTTCAACTCAAAAGGAAGGAAGGTCACAATCATACAATGCTACGCTATGCACCTACAAATAATGTAGATCAAGAGAAGAAGGAGGAATTCTACAGACAACTGCAATCAGCACTGAACAAGACCTCACTCCATTTGGCGACATCAAAGTTCTGATGTGTGGGGTGACATGAATGCCAAACTGGGAGTGGACAACAGTGGAAGAGAACTAACCATGTGTCGAGAAGCGCTAGGTGAAATGAACGAGAATGGAGAATTGTTTGTAGAATTCTATGCATTCAACGATTTGGTGATTGGAGGCACTATGTTCAAGCACAAGGGTATCCGCAAAGCGAGCGACATGGATTTCACCAGACACCATCACACACTACACTAAAATTCAGATTGACTTCATCTCAATGTGAAGAAAGTGTAGACGCAGCCAGCCTACTTGACACAAGGTGAAGAAGAGGAGCAGATGTAGGTTCAGACCACTCACTATCTTGAGCAAGGAACCTTCAAATCAAGTTGAAAGCCTTTAGGGAAGCTGGTGATAGACCACAGTTCAAGTATAACACTCGGAAACTGAAGGACGAAACTACAAAGGACATCTTCACGGCAGCCAGACATCAAGACACAATGGGGGATATCGAGCAAAACCCCTGAAGAAATCCATGTGGAAGAACACTGGAAGTCTTTGAAAGAGAAGTTGAAAGACACCTGCATCACCGTATTAGGAAGGAAGAAGAAAGAAGACAGGACAGGGAATGGATCTCGACGGACACATGGAAGCTGATAGGGTAGGGAGAGGAGGATGGTGAAACAGAAGATAAACCAGTGCAAGGATGAACAACGAAAAAAGGAACTAAACAAAACCTATAAAAGGCTACACTAGACAAAGAAGTGAAGAAGAGTGCACGTGAAGACAAAAGACACTTCCACGAAACACTGACAAGTGAAGCAGAACAGGCTGCCTCAGGTAGGAGAGATAGACCTGACAACATTATGTCAAATAACCAGGTTACTTGCTGTCTGGGAAGAGATCAACACGGATGAAACCAATAAAGAATGATGAAGGAAATTTAATTACGAAAGAGGAGAAACAAAGGAAACGATGAGCTGACCACTTCAGAAAGCTCTTGAGCCGACCACCACTTGGACTTCGTCCAGAAATACCACCTGCAGCCACAGAACGACCAGTGAACATAAATCCTCTAACAAAAGTCGAAGTCGTGAGCGCCATGAAGCTACTGAAATGCGGGAAAGCAGCGGGACTAGGTGGAATCCCTCCAGCAGCACTGAGAGCAGACGCAGGGACAACAGCGGATATGCTCACACCAGCACTGCAAAAGGTCTAGAGGGAGGGCTACCTCGTCAAACTCCCGAAGAAGGCCGACCTAAGCCTTTGCAAGAACTGGCGCGGAATCACGCTCCTGTCCACTCAGAGCAAGCAGAATATTAGGTCGCATCATCCTGGAGAGACTAAAGGATGCGCTGGATTCACAACTACGACCGGAACAGGCTGACTGGCTGGCTTCAGGAAGTACAAATCATGTGGGGACCAAATTATCATTGAACAGAGTATAGAATGGCAGTTCAGTTAACTCTCTATCTCAACTTTATCGACTTCGAGAAGGCCATTGACAGCGTCGACCGACAAGTAGTTTGGAAACTGCTTCAACACTACGGAATAGCACAAACCTTTATCAGTCTCATTCAACATCTATATGAAGACGCCACATGCCAAGTAATTCATAATGGGAAGCTCAGTGATGCCTTTGAAATGAAGACAAGAGTAAAACAAGGTTGCCTACTATCACCCATGATATTCCTGATTGTGGTCGACTGGACTGGATCATGCAACAAACAGTGAGGAGCTGTGAGGAGAGGGGGATACGCCGGCTGGATCGCGGAAAAGAAACTAGAAGACTTGGATTTCACCGATGACTTGTGTCCGACGTCACACAAACTTGAAGATCTATAGGCGAAAACTAACAAGTTGGCAGAAGAGGCGAGGCAGGGCAGCCAAGGAAGACGGGACTTCAGGTGAATATAGAGAAGACAGAGGTGATGAAGATACCCACCACCACCAACAACTCCAACAACAACAACAAACTCCAGTCACCATCAACGGGAGAAACTTGAAGGAAGTTGTCTGTTTCACTTATCCAGGCAGGGCAGCATCGTTTCAACTACAGGTGATGGCAGCACAGACGAGGACGTCAAAGCAGCCACGATCGGAAACACAGCAAGACAGGCCTTCCTTCACTAATCTGAAATCAGTGTGCAGATCTTCTACACTCAGCATAGAGCACGAACAACATCCAGATTTTCAACACCAATTCAGTCAAGTCAGTGCTTCTGTATGGCTCAGAGACTTGACGCGTTACGGAAAGCATTTCCAATAAACTACAGATATTCATCAACAACTGCCACCTACGCTGGCTCGTTACTGAAAATCAGACGGGCAGACTAGTGAGAATAAGCAACAAGGAACTCTGTCTGGCTGTCAATGAAGCAACGAAGCAAGAAGCTATCGCGCAACAGATATGCAGTGGAAGAAAGTGGAGATGGATTGGATTAAACATATACTGAGAAGGGCGACTGGGGACATCAGACGCCAGGTCAGTCAGGCACTCGAGTGGGACCCAGATGGGAAGTGACGAGTTGGGCATCCGGGGTGAGGGTGACCTGGAGCAGATGGTGTGAGGAAGAAATGAGAGTTTGTGGGTAGTGGTGGAGCCAGGTTGAAAAGATTGCAGAGAGAGTGTAGAGTGGACTGGAGACGTGCTAGTGAATCCCCATGTTGCATTAGGAACCAAAGGGACAAATGAGTAGTAATAATAATAATAATAATAATAATAATATGATAATAATAATAATGCTGGAGGCAATAAAGATGCACTGGATTCAAATCCACGAGCGGAACAGGCTAGCTGGCTGGCTTCAGGAAGAACATATCATGTGCCGATCAAAATGCAACTTTACGCATCATTGAATAGAGTATTGAATATCAGTCGACTCTCTACCTCAACTTCATCTACTTCGAAAAAATCTTCGACAGTGTCGACAGAGAAGTAATTGTCAGCTGCTTGAATACTATGGTTTTAGTGCCACAAACCCTTATCAACCTCATTCAACAACAATAATCAAAAGAAACAACTAGTCACAAACCAGTTGATCAGGGCAAACTGCTGAGTCACTGAAGGAAAGATATCGACAGCTCGCTTCACACTGGTGGAGTCGTCTGGAAGGACGATTGCGGCTTCACGATTAATCAACGCAGCTCAGAGGACATAATAAAACCAAGACCATTCACCTGAGCTGCAAGCGTTCTCCACCACTTCAAGTGAGATGTGGACTGTGAAATCATAAGCCCTGTGTTGTCAATTTCATCTTCTATTCACAGCCTGCATTCCCATCCTTGCACGTTCATCTGTAATCCAGATTACGAGCAATCAAATAGTCGTCAGTTCTGTCATCACTGGCACGTAACGATTGCTAATCAACATCTAAAATGTCATCTTATTACGCCTGCTGACTACACTTTACAAACCGTTGTCACTGCAATTGACTGTAATCATGGGTGAATGCACAGATCACTCTTCATCAATTAGCGCTATAGGCAGACCGACCCATACTCATTTGCTTCATTTCGCATTGGCGGTCAACGTGCACTTCAAAACAAGCATTCCGTAGCCCTCATTCCTCTTGTTTGTGCCAGCTGAAAGCTGTCACAGATCACCTTCTGTCATAGTTATTTCGGAATTAGAGCTACGTAGCTTCCATCCTACTCACGCCAGGGTACAATGCCATACGAGTTCACTCTCAGTCTATCTTTCCGTATGAGAAGAGTTTTCAACTCCTTATTTGCTGTGGATTCTTCAGCATCCATTACTTTCTTTATTCATTCAAACACTGACCCAATGGTGAAATCTGGCTTTTGATAGTACAACATTCTACGTTGGTCATGTTCAACTGTGTTGACCCCACATAAAATTTCTGGCAATTCAGCTGTTTCCTGTGGTCTATATGAGCAAGGTGCCACTGCATTTGCCTTCCTCAGGATGTTGTCCATCTCAAGGACATCCACCTGTAGGTGTGATATCCATCTCACTAGTTTTCAATATAATATGATCTGGTGCTGTCTACAATCCCTTTGAGGATTTGTACACCGTCTCAATGTGAAACCGTGGTCCCGGGGGATTTGACCTCCACTTTTCGAAGGCTAATACGATCACAATATCTACCACTGAATACTTGTGTTCTGTAAGTAGTAATAGATAGGCACCATACTGAACGGTCTGTCGTGGGATGCCACCTACTCCATAATCACTTGCATCTGTTGAAAACATGAGTGGGTTTCAGTGAACTGCCAGTCCTACTGTCACCAGCTGATCAACGAAGAGCTACTTAATTCTATCAGATGTCCCCTGTGTCTCTTGAGTCCACACAGACGTCGGGTATCTCAAACCGCATACATTGCGCAGCCATCATCTCACTGAGGTTTTCAATCAACTGAACGCTGAAGACTGCTCTTCCGAGCACTGTTCCAGTTTCCATACCGAGTTTGGAATCGCAATGTTCTTGACTGTTAGAGTCTTTTCAGTCAGTGAATTCACTTCACCATTTCCTGGTTCATAGTCCTAATGCTTGCTCCCTTACCTTAGCTTCACATAAGTACTATTATCCTCTTCTACAAATAAATATGCCACCCAACACTCTCATTTCTTTTTGTAAAAAGCATGACGTCTTAATGTTGTGTCGTTTAGTGTAGTGTGAAAGTCATTTGTGCGTGATAAATCAGGCTAGACTATATATAGCATGAGTGGAAGCATAATGGTCATAAGTGTTGTCTGATGTGCGATACACATCAAGGGATGATCAACTGAATAATTTAGACATGGTTTTAGTGAACTGTGAGAAGTCTAAAAGTATTTCTTAAACCATCAACTTCATTGAGCATAGTAAAAAAAATATTTAAAAATCAGGTACAAGGATGTGAAGATGATGATAACTGCCCAGCAGGTATGACTGTTATACTCGTGAGTGGTGGACTATTGCCAGTGTGAAGAATATTTGGAGGAGCAATATGTAGTGTCTCCATGTGTGTGTGTGTGTGTGTGACTGTGTGTGTGTGACTGTGTGTTAAGGACACTGGATAATCGAATCCCATAAAACGCTATGAAATTAGAGTGTGAACGTATGACAGAGGAGGAGTGACTTCAAAGACCACCCTAGCAACTGCTAACTTCAACAATCAAATTTCAGAATTTCTACTCAGTAGGGTAGTTTTTCATAGAATAGAGGACTGTAATTGGTTATGTAAACGGTTGCTTGGGCGGTCTTTGAAGTCACTAATGCCAGTCCGGTAGCCAGACTACACGCCTACACGCCTCATGAAAATGGAAATCTCTGCATGCCCTTGTGTCTGTGAATGTGTCTGTTCATAGTGCGTCTACATTATTATGCGTCGAATACTAGATGATGAAGTGAGTTGAATGTCTGACCATACAATAGAAGTGATATTGGCTTATATGGTTCTCTACATTGTAGGAGGTTTTCACTTTCCATACCCGTCCGAAGATAAGAAACAGGAGGGTTGAGAAACCAGGAAGTCTGGTGCTACTCATTTCAGAGTGATAAAATGCAAACATATACCAACCTTCAGTTTAGGAATGATAATCTAATCGAAATTACTGCAAGTAGACTTCAACGTTCATTGAAGAACAAAAGTTTCCTGTTTCCACTGTGAGAGGCGATTTCACCTACAGACCTATGCTAGTGGTCCGTCAGAAAGAGAGCAGATCAACTTTACCCATGTCAATGTGTATTTATAAATACAACTGCCTCTGTGAATTGAGTTAATTAGGACGACGAATGAGAACTTTTTCACAATGTGCGGAAAAGCATCTACCAGCACGCCTAGCAAACAACGAGTAAACAAGATTATGACTACTATCCACTCACGTTTAAATGACACCGGTCAGCACATCAACATTAAGTCTGTTTTCTCTGTTATCCACTAAATATCAGAAGGAATACCCACAAGAAGTAAGAATCCGCCTTCTTCACACTGCTGAGGCTACTGACACGAAAATGAGGAAAGCTAGGTTATATATTTGAAAATCTTTCAAACATTCTTTTGTCCTACAATGACCGTCCACAAAGATGGATTCCAAATTATTCAGGTAGACAGTGACTCCTCTAAACTGACTATTTCATCCATTATAATAATAATAATAATTATTATTATTATTATCTCATACAGCCTTCTTCTCATTTTCATTTGACTTAATATCCAACAGTTACTCACTACCTATCTGATTGGTAAACTGTATACCGGTAAATTATTTTATCCACAAACTAGTAGAAGTTCTGTGACACAACCGAACTGTTACATGATTTTATTTCCAAAATTAGTTCAGTTTACAAACAACTATCAAGATTATACTATAGTTCAGGTAGCCAGCCTGTCTCTTAGTGTGAAATATTACATTTGATGGCAACGTTTGATGGAACTACAGTGCTCCTACTCATCACCAAAACACTATTTGGTTCGAAGTGAATCAATATTTAGATGATGCATATAATAGCTTAATAATCTGCTTAGATGTTAGTGGATGTCTTCCATTTTAGAAGTTTTATTCCAACGTGTAGTTATCCACCTCCAAATCGGCATCATTCAGCATCAACTTCGTGATGATGAACAGCTGTATATTCACAGTCCTAAGTTAAGCCACTCCTAGCCAGATAAGTCATAGCGTTTTCCCTTAAGATAAAGTTTTACTTGCAGACAAATTAATACATTGTCTCTGAATGAATTTACTATCTAACGTGATTTCCTATTTGTCTCTGGTTGTTCCAGTACTTTCACGTAGTAAACACTGATCAATCTGATCATGATGTTGGTGTCATTTCCGCAGACAAATCATGAAAACGAAAGCAATCATGTGAATGTAATTTTATTGATGTGAATTAACAATTGAACTATTTGTATCCTGCAAGAAATACTACTTATATAATAAATAGTGTATAACCAAATAAATAACGAGTCAGGAAAATATAGGTCAATTCATGTTTCACAGTAATCAAGAGGAGATGTTGATCAGCCCGATCATGCAGTGAAAGTTGTTCATTTACACTGAAATACTAGGATTTGATCAGCCATTGGAAAAACTTTAATAATTATTTTCGAAGTTGACAATGGAACATTAACTGGCAGATTCGAATGTGAAGGATAAACAAGCAGTGGCTTAACCGATGGACAGACGGTGGTGAAGTCCAGAATGATGTCTTCAGTCATATCGGATTTGATTAAAGCCACGATGAGTGTGGGGAAGCCTTTTGCACTGCGTGTAAACAATCCAAAAATATGATTTGAATGCTGAAAGAAATGAAGCAAATACCATTTCAATTGACTGATCGACTTCAAGATAAGCTGAACATCAACAAATTCAAGCGAATGAGTCACAGTATGCCAGCAACTATTAGACACGTATTGATCCTTGTCACAGACACTTTCAAATTCCGCACAGTAAATGTTTATCACAATGTAGGCTGTGGTGAATGGACTCAGGTAAATATCACCAGTTTATTCAAGATTGTGAAGTGTCATATAATCAGTGGATACGGAGAGGTGGCTGAATTTCATCTCTTCTTCATTCGATGTAGTTTGCTGATTGTTGTTTGTGAATCGGTGCTTGTCAACTACTTTCCATCGTACACTGTTGCAACACTGACTTACTGTGAAGCTGTGATTGAATGAAATGTAATAAATAAATGACTGATTGCCCTGTAAGCCATTCATCATCGTCCATGAATTGAGGAGAAGAGATTCGACTGCAGCCTGCGTAACAGTGTGTGAGCCGGTTGCAAATCTTTGAAGAAAACCAACAATTGTTTAGAAAAGGTGAAAAAGTACAAACGACTATACGGTGACTTACATTGGTCGGAGGCTGAATGAACTTCACAGCTCCCCACTTCAAACTGGGATTTTCACGGAGAGCTACAAGACTTCGAACGAGACCGAGAACTGATTCACCATGTCCTTCAGCCAGGGAATTCTAAAAAAGGAGAAACTGAGTACAGTACATGATGCATGAAAGTGTTTGGGGTAGAAAACGACTGGAATTTCAACCATTTCTTTTGATAATCATTGTGAAGGTGGAGCGTGAATCAGTTCGTTGTCTCTGATTTCTCTTATCACGCTGATCTCAGAGACATGCATATTTTGAGTCACATACAAAATCATGTTTACACACGTCTTCTAAGTGAAATTCATTCCAGGTGAGACCACACTCCAAGTTAAATACAAGATACAAACATATGAGTCGTGGATAGTGCAAAAGAAGATGAACGTTGCAGGATATTTGATCATTAGTGAGGAAACAGAATCTCGTATGCTATGAGGAGAAGATACGTAAGTCGATATACAAGGAGCGAATTAACTGCTGTATTTGCAATCCTCACATTCCTCCGCAAATATTCCCATGAGTGAACAACGAGTTGATGAAACTGATTTCAAATTAGTGGTCCAGTGATCCAGTCCAGTTCACCACAATCAAGAAGATCAACGGTGATGGTAGGCGGCAACCTTGTCTTACTCCTGTCCCCTGTCTTCACTTCGAAGACGTCACTGAGCTTTCCATTGTGAATCACTTGGCATGTGGAGTCTTCATATAGCTGTAGAATGAGGTTGATAAAGGTTTGTGGAAGTAAAACCGTAGTGTTCAAGCAGCCGTCTGCCAAATTACTTCTTGGTCGACGCTGCCAAAGGCCTCTTCGAAGTCGATAAAGTTGAGACAGAGAGTTAACTGGACTGCCATTCTATACTCTGTTCAATGGTGATGTATAGTGTTGTAATTTGGTCCGCACATGATTTGTACTTCCTGAAGCCAGCCAGTCAGCCTGCTCCGGTAGAAATTTTGAATCCAGAGGATCATTCAACCTCTCCAAGATGATGCGGCTTAATATTTTGCTGAGAGTGAACAGGAGCACAATTCCTCGCCAGTTTGTGTAAGCAATTAGGACTCCCTTCTCTGGAAGCGTAACAGGGTAGCTCATCATCACGTTTATTTACATACTTCCAAAACATCTGCAATAGCGATGTGAGCACGTCCGCCGTTGTATCTGAGTCTGTTTCAGTGCTTCTGGTGGAATCCCACCTAGTCCTCCTGCTTTCCCAGGTCTCAGCGACTTTATGCATTCACGAACTTATTTCCGCTGTTGTCTGAGGGCTTGTGTTCACTGGTAATTCTGTGTCTGGGCGGTTGGTGGTGTTTCTCGGCGAGTTGCTGTTGGTGGTGGTGGTGGTGGTAATCGATTCAAGAGTTTTTCGAAGTGGTCAGAGCATTGGTCCCTTTGTTCTTCCTCTTTGGTAACTGAGTTTCCTTAACTATCTTTCATTGATCTCATCTGAGTTGATCTCTTCCTTCCCAGATAGTAACCTGTTTATTTGATATAGTGTTGTTAGGTCTCTGACTCTGCTACGTGCAGCCTGTTCTGCTTCAGTTGCAGTTGTATCGTAGAAGTGTCTTTTGTGTTTGCGCGCACTCTTCTTCACTTCTTTTTTCAGTGTCTTATAGGTTGTGTTTAGTTCCTCTTTTCGTTGTTTATCCTTGCACTGCACTGCACTGCACTGGTTCATCTTCTGCTTCACCATCCTCCTCTCCCTGCTTTATCAGCTTCCATATGGAAATCCGTCGAGATCCATTCCTTGTCTTGTCCTGCTTCTTCCTTCCTAACACGGTTATGCAGCTTTCCTTCCACATAGCTCTCAAGGAGTTCCAGTGTTCCTCCACGCAGTTTCCTTCAGGGATGTTGTTCAGTGTCTCCCATTTTGTCCTGATAACTGATTGACGTGAAGATGTCCTTCGGTTCAGTTTCTGTTCTGGGTGTTTAACGTGAACTGTGATCTATCATCACCACCTTCCTTGAAGGCTTTCAGCTTGGATTTGAAGGTAGGTTCCTTGCATTAGATAGTGGTGTGAGTAGTGTAGTAGTACTGATCTTGCATCCAGTAAGCTGTCTGCGTCTCCACTTTCTTCACATTGATATTAAGTCAATCTGACTTTTAGTGTAGTGTATCATGGTGTCTGGTGAAACCAAATCCATGGCGCATTGTGAATATCCTTGTGTTTGTACACAGTGCCTCCAATCACCAAATCGTTGGATGCGTAAAAGTCTGCAAACAGTTCTCCATTCTAATTCATGGTTTCAGCGAGTGCCTCTCGACACACGATCAGTTCTTTCCCTGTGTTGTACGCTCCCAGTTTGGCATTCATGTCACCCCACCCATTAGAATTTTGATGTCGCCAACTGTGGTGGGGTCTTGTCCAGTAGTGATTGCAGTTGTTTGCGGAATTCCTCCTTCTTCTCTTGATCTACATTATTTGTAGGTGTGTAGTGTAGCATTGCATGATTGTGACTTTCCTTCCCTTTGAGTTGAATGCATCTTGCTGTGATGATCCTCACCCTGGAGGAGGAGATTGGTTCCCACTGCATGAGAGAAAGCCCTCGATGCTGTTGGGAGGGGACATGATGATAGCCACTCCTCCTTCAGTGTGCTCATGGTTGTCGTCTGGTTGAGAATATCGGAGTAGATTATTGACTGTGCAGTTGACAGTTTGGAGAGTCCACTTCCATTCCATCTGCTTTCTTAGATTCCAACCACTTCCGTGCCATACTTTCTCATCTCCTTGGCAATCTGGACAGCCTTGCTAGCCAGCCAGCCAGTTTAAAACATTGTGCGGATATTCCATGTTTCCATTTTTACTTTCTCTCTCATCGAGAGAAGAGAAGACACATCGGCTCGACCAACTGGCTTCCCGAAGCCAGGCTTTCACCAACCGGCGTCATTTCGTGTCCCAGACTGCAGCGAGGAATAAGTTTATTTTTATTTCTAATATTTTCTCTGTGATTTGAAGTTTGTTTAGCGATTGGATTGGTTTTCCAGGATAGGTTTGCTAGCCTTATGCCCAACCTTCTCTCTTTATCCATGCTTAGGACCGGCTAGTAACCAGTGAACTAGTTAACCAGGTGGTGCTGCGTCTCAATTGTATCGTATTTATTTGAATTTCACTGAATACACACAGGATAACTATTTTAAAACAACTCTCTATCATGTGATGATCGCTGTTTCTGAAACACTTGAATTGTTAGAATAACAAGGTGACAGGCCTTATATTTGAAAGATTTGTGTGTCATTTGTCCATTACAAAATTCCTCTTTCGTGTCATTTCCGTTGATATATTAAATGCATCCTGCTGTGGGATAGTATTATTTGATGGAGTACAGTTCGGATACAATTTGTTGTCCATATTCATATCAAGATAACCATATAACTTTGAGAAGTGCTTTAAATAATCCTAATTCTCTCGCCTCCTCTGTGATACGTTGGTTAGTAGGATATTCTATGTATACGGAATTAGTGCTGAGTCATTCCATTTGTACGCATTACATACTGATTCGATAAACGCAGGTTCTCTTCTCAATCTTTTTCACACATCGTCCAGCCAACTTAAATTTAGGAACTGTTACTCTGTCGCATCCTATTCTGTGGTTGTGTGTAGTTCCAGGCATAGCTACAGCCGAACATTTTTCTACATTGCTTATCTCAATAGGATCTATGTATATTGATTTTGGAATGTTTTATGTTCGGACAGCCTAACTGAGTCTTGCCGAATACTTTGACCTGGCAATCATTGAAAGGGATTTGGTGAATTAAACTATTCTGCTTATTTGAACCAATAGGATCTTCGAGACTGCGAAGCTTGTTTCTAAGTGAGTTTGTAGGTTGGAATGCCACTCTGTTCTTAGCCTTATTTAAAATCCCACATAGTTTCTCAGAGGCACCTTCCTCGTATGGTAACCCTCACTGTACAGGTTTCAATCTCTCTCTTCACTTCACTTCATTTCTGTCATTATTATCATGGTTTAAAGTAGCATTATTATTAACACCTATCCATGTTAAGGCTATGAATCATAATTTGCTTACAATTACTACTGAATTTGTTGATTAAATAAGGTGGGTAATTACTGATGAGTAGGTTGTGTTTGATGTCTTCAGTGTTTCACTGTGAGATACATCGAATAAACTAGCTAAACAGTGACTACACTCCACCAGAGAAACCACATTTTCCCCTGATATTGATGCCGACTTCTTAATTCAACGTTGCAGAAAGGAAAGCGGATAACCTCAAGATGTATTCAGAGTGGGAAGTCAGGTGTAATTGGATTGCGTATGTTACATATGCGATTCTTTGTCATCGGTATGCTACTCGAGGTTAGATTAAAGGTTATAACTGCAGTATAGTGACCAAAAAAAAAGACAGACTTACTTTTGCTTTCCACTCTTCTTAATCCACCCATCTATTTCCTGTCTGATACGTTTGACAAACTTTACGCTCTCATTTCTGTACAGTTGATGACTTGGATAACCTTCAAACCACAGTTTATGTTCCTAAAATATACAGAACGTATTTAAGATGACAACACTGATTATTGTGATAAAAGAGTACATACCATGACTCGTGCTCCCATCTCTGAATCAGTGTTTTCAACGAAAAATGCACAGTTGTCTAAGAGAATTCCATCGACTCCTTCCTTCATCCAGTAACCGATCACATCCTAGCGGAGAAGTGACTTATCAGTGTGGAAATGCAAACCTACCACTATTGCCTTCTGTGTGTCAGAATCTTCCAAGTTTAGGTCTACCCTCGGAAATGAAAATACCGAGTAATAACTCTCATCTCCAATCTCCACACCTGATGATCCTTCGTATCGGTCATACTAAGAAGAATATAAACCATGATTAGACGATAAAGTGAAATATAGTTCTACTTACCATGACATCCAGATTTTTTGGATATTTCACCAATTTAGCTTCATTCTGTATAACCCAATTATGGCGGGTCGACACTGAATTGAAATCTAAGGTCAAGATGATCTTCAAATCTTGTTTGTGAAATTCTCTTATAAGGTGTCGGAAGTCTTCCACTGTGCCAACTGCATTGTCTAATTCTTTGTAATCTTCCACCAGTCCAATTACTTTGTATCGGTTTGTATAGAAGCCTTTTGTAATGGGACCTAGTATCACATATCCTGCCCCAATTATACTTTTGATGTAGTCCACCTCCGATATGAGACCTGTTTAAATCAAGCAAAAAAACGATGAGGATGATATGGTGATTTCGGTTACCAGTCAGATCACCAACGAAGTCGCCAGAGGAATCTTTGAAATCGAATACATCTAGCCAATAACCAACAGCAGACTTCCAAAATTGTGATTCACGTTTCTCCAAATCCTTTATTCCTGAAAACCAGTAAGTAGCAAATGCAACCAGTATGCTAATCATTATGACACAGAAGCCAAATAACAGCCCCAATCGTACATATCTCCATTTGGGATCCACCTTGTCCAAATTGTCTCTGTGGGAATTATTTGATAGGTTGTTCATAGCCGTTGCGGTTTCATCATAGAAATTCTTTGACTTGTTATACTTATCTGTTTCTCTCTCTTGTCCCTTAGAGTCCGTTTCGTACACCTGTATGACTTTTGGTTGTCGTAGTTGTTTAGAGTTGTTCATATTTGGAACAAAGTTATCCATCTTCCAAATTTCTACTCTTCTATGTTATAGTGATTGGTTGAATGAAGCAAAGATGTTGGTCGCAAGAGTGATTTTATACGTTCGCCTCTTCCACTTCTCGCTATATATCACCTTCAATACAGAATGGAATGTTGTAGATTTGCAAACAAAAGATCAATATAATTAATTTGGAGAATCAGATGTGTTTGTATGGAATATCTCTCAGTAGTGATTGGAGTAGTGAACAGGTGAAAACGACAGTCTAGTGGTATGATCCAGCTAATTGGATGATATACAACCCTTTGAAGAAAGACGATAAAAATAACTCGCTAATTATTGTCCATATTTTTAGAAAGCCGCAATAGCTAGTAATTTAGTGTAAAGATAGGTGTCTCTGACAAGTGAACAATACAGGAAATACTTCAGCAAGCATCACCACCATTTAAATCCGAGTTAAATATATATTTGGGAGCAATTTTATACGACTTCATTGTATGACCACAAGTATTTTGAGATGAATAGTTGAGGGATTGGTTTTCGTCGGCTACTTGAATGTAGAGAAGCCTCAGAAAAACACAAGGAAATCTAATAGACTAGTGTTGGTTGTTACAGCTGCAGATTGAATTTTCGTCTTCAACCTAGGTTAGGCATCAGAATTATGGCATTCCACTAGTTTCGTGTGCATCAATGCGGAGGTCATCAACTTTCCTGTCCAAATCCTGACAGTTGTCTCCTCTGGGTACTAGGAGTATATGAATGATGATTTCGCCTTACTTGCTGCCTTTTCCCGATATATAAATCCTTCATTGCTAGCATAGCCTACTTCTGAAGATTACAGCACTTTTTTATGTGTATGGGTAAACTATTCTAGGCTTGACTTATTTTCTGTCACGCATTAAAGTATTTGAACTATACAATGACACTTCTCTCGTATGCTAAAATCCCCAGCTTCAGAAAGCACCCAAAATGGTTGCTTCTCTTTAACCTACCATGAAACACCGACTGATGACTCTCACTCTTCAGGCATCCTATCCAGTATAAAGTCATTCCCATACTGAATAGGATGAACTACTTGTCAAGCCAGCTATAAAATACATTTTTGTTTAATATGCTGGTGCAATCTTGAATTCATGGTTAAAGGAAGGTTAATAGAGCTGTTGGCAGTGCAACTAATCGAATCAGATATTGGATTTCAACTTCTTAAATTATTTCAAAAATTTTCCTTATCATTATTATTTGTCTCTTGAATCACTAATGGAACATGAGGCTTCACTAGCACGTCTCCAGTCCATTCTCTTCTCACCAAACCGTTCAACCTGGTTCCATGAGAGCCAAAGAGCACTCATTTCCTCCTCGAAAGATTTTCCCTATGATATCCACGCCTCGGAGGACCAACAAATCACTTCCCATTTGGGTTCCACTCGAGTGTCTGGCTGGCCCGGAGCGTGATGTCCCCAGTCGACCTTCTCAGTGCATGCCCAATCCATCTCCACTCTCTTATTCTGCATATTGGTTCAGCGACACATTCTTCGTTGGCTCGTTGATAGCCAGACTTCCTTGTCACATATTCTTTCTGGCCATCTGATCTTCAGTATCGAGCCAGAGTAGACAGCTGTTCATGAATGTCTGTAGTTTGTTGCAAACGCTTTTCGTAACGCGCCAAGTCCCTGAACCATCATATAACAGCACTGACTTGACTGGATTGGTGTTAAAAATCCAGATGTTGTTCACACTTTATGCTGAGTAGAGTGCAGTAGATCTCCACACTGACTTCAGCTTGGTGAAGGAAGGCCTGTCTTGCTGTCTCTCCGATCCTGGCTGCTTCGACGTCCTCGTCTGTGCCGTCATCACCTGTAGTTGAAACGATGCTGCCCTGCCTAGATAGGTGAGAGAGACAACTTCCTTTAGGTTTCTCCCGTTGATGGTGATTGATGCTTGTTGTTGTTGGTGGTGGTGTTGGTGTTGGTGTTGTTGGTGGTGGTGTTGGGTGTCTCCATCACCTCCGTCTTCTCTACGTTCACTCGAAGTTCCATCTTCGCTGCCTCGCCTCTTCTGTCAACTTGTTGGTTTTCTCCTGTAGATCTTCAGGTTTGTGCGACATCAGACACAAGTCATCGGCGAAATCCAAATCTTCTAGGATCTTTTCCCCGGTTCAATTTCGAAAATTGGAATCCAGAAAACGCCTAAAATACTTTAACTTCACTTCTTTAGTGTGCTTCGGCGACTCATACAGGAAACAAACTTAGTTGCTGTGATAGAATGCTGTTCTAGTTTAGTCGGTGAATTTGGTATATCAAGCAGCAAAAAAGCATTATATGCTGGATTAAGTTTCGGACACAACTCGTTGCCTATTGTCATATCACAAGATGATGTTTGTTATATGCAGTGAGATCTCCTAGTGAACTTTCATGAAGTGACTTCTGAATGTTCAGCACTCATAAACTTGGATCATGATTCAAAATTCAAGACGACTGGGAATTCCTCTGAGTGTTATTCAGTAAATCCAGTCAAATCGGGTCACAATCCCGCAAAATCATGACCATCCATGAGAGTGGAGAAAACTTTCACAGATTATCACCGCAGTGTTTGCATTCATCAACACAAAGGACGGAGGTGAATGTGTCAAGCACACAACTGCAGAAAAGGTATATGGAGATGTATTTTTCAAGATAAATCTCCGCATCGATTTCGGCACGTATCAAAGTTTTCTCTAGAAGGAAGATCAACCAGTACTTAGTGTTTCTGAAGTGAAAAGGATGAAAATATCCAAGTGTCCTTCTAAAAGATGATAAGCTTCACATTTCATCTGACACAGCACCAGACATCATTGAAAACAAGACGCACAACTAGACATCTATCACTTTTCTATACCTCTGATGTAGCCGGAAATGCCTAGGAAGATTTTCTGAAGCTGATCAGTAAAATCAGCTGCGACTTTTAATTTATGTCAAGAAATGTTCAACGTGTACACTTCCTCTGAATCATCGTGATTTAATTCGTTGGAAACTGATTCATTGACTAGTTGTTCATCAGTTATTTGGAATTGAGTTCAGCTTGTTTAGATGCATTTTTACCCATCAGCCTAGTGTAGGTGTTCATGGAATTACTATGATCTGTCATTTACCTGTCAAGCATGAGATAGTACTCGGGGAGACTTTTGGATGCCTTAGATTGAGAAAGTCAAACCTATGTGTCCGACACCATACTTATAACCAGCTATTCAACAAAAGTTACAAGTACCCTTGCAAATGTGGTGTTAGTCAGTCAGGAAGTGAACAGATGAGAAGATTCACGTGTACTATAACCACAATTCTCTCTTTCACATGTTCCACCATTTCCTCATGTGATGCCAAAATCGAGTAAGTGCAACTGGTCTCCATCTTCCTGCTACATCCGGAATTCAACGATCTGATGTGTTGTGTTGAGCACACGTATTAGCCTATTCGTAAGAATCACGTTGTTACTTGTCATCAGCAAACTATGTGGTTTCGTTATTTCCAAGTGACAATATTTTTATTTCTAAAACGTAATAAATGCATCTCTGAGAACTGGTCCAAAATCGATTTCAGGTAGGTTAGATCATGATGTTGTGAAGGTCAGCAAATAACTCAGACCGTGAATGGCCTACTGATGTATTCGTACACAGACAGGAAATTTTACTATGAGAATGCATGGAGATAACTCCTTAGCTATGCATCACTTGAAGCAAAGAATCAAAGGGATATTTGTGTGAAAAGCCTAATACGAGCATTTTGGAATTGTCAACAATGTGAATTCTACTAAGCTAGCCCAATACTAAATTATGTGAACGACAGTTTCGTATTTTTTTACCACAAGACATTTTGAACAGTGAAGATTACAAATATTAAACACTAGGCTGCTTCAACTTCTCAAGTTATATATTTCAAGCTTCACTCAAGCAATGAAGGATTATGCATTCTAGAATCTTAGAAACCAGATCGGCTAATTCTAGTACCTACTATTCTTAGTCATTACTGCTTGGTATCACTCTCAGCTAACTAACCATTAATTAATGTATGTGCACATACACGAAATTACCAGACAGTCCTGCTTCTCATGAAGGCGTGTAGGCACCTTAATACAGTGTTCATTGTTCATTGTTTGTTCATTCTTTTACTACATCGAGAATAGATCATTTTGTGTCCTAAACACATACACATAAACATACTACGTAAGGTGCTTTTGAAACATTCTTGACCCAGAAAAACTGATTTCATGAGAATATATTAGCACAAAAATAGTGAGAGGAATGTATAAACTCTGTTCTAGAGATCACAGAATTGATTGTTGCATAATTGGATAGCTATTTTTATCAGAATTTATAGTAACAATAGTTGAATTTACTAGCGACACTAGTGAAGTGGTTTTATGGTATCTAAGACAGATGTTATTAATCCATAACAGTCGGATCCCACTCGAAATTCTCACTTGTAATTCAGGTTTTCTGGCTTATTATCATTGTGTTTATTGCTCATGGAGGAACAATTAGTTCTATATTAGAATATTCCTTTCAAATTCCACACAGTGAAAAAATATTTTTTTTCTGGGTGACACTTCTCTATAGGAAATATCAAACAAATAATCCATTTTGGAATTATTCACTATCATAGTGCTCTGGCTTTACTCTTACACTTATAGAAGTAGTAGTTTCTCTCATAGTTAGGTGATCATATTATTGCTTACTTCTTCCTTTCATCTTTACTGATACTTTCTGCTCTAGTTCGTACTTCAAAAAACTGTAGTTTAATTCAATTAACACTAAAATGTTAGAGGTTTCGGAACTTTGCTATAGTAGATACATTGTCTGCTCTGTTGATTACCTTAAACGGGAGGGGATAAAATGATAGAATTGACTGACGAACAGCATCATGTCTGATGAACACATGTCCACACTCCAAGCGTTCAATAGGGATAGAAACGCTATATTTCTGCTCTCTTCTATATCTAGGTCTCAGGTCATTCACATATATCTTCAGCTGCTATAAATAGCTAGTTGAATG